TTTCCTTCTATTTAACCACGCAGCTCTGCCCGGCTGTAGGATACGCTCCGAGCGAGCTCCGGTATTGGCTTTGAGTCAGAAGTGTCTGGAAGCCTTAATGAAAACCAAGTGTAAGGCAAGTCTGAGCCACCTGTCCCCGGGATCCCCGGGCAGGCGCCCTGGGCTTCCCATTAATCAATGGATCTGCCTCTTGGAAAGTGTCTCTTGCATGCTGGACCTCTGCCCTGGGGCGATGGCAAAGCGGAGTTGGGGACCTGGAAGCCCTCTGGTAATTTCTCTAAGCCAGATAGCAAAGCCGTGCTGGCGTTGCTGGCAATTCTGCGTTTCCAAAAGTGCCTCAAAAGCCCCTGCAAGAAGAAAAAGGGGTAGGGAAAAAGCTCTTTATGTTGCAGGTCTGCAGTCCTGCCCCTTCTCCCCAGGAGCAGCACCTCTCCCACCTCCCTATTTCCCAAGGATACTGTCCAGTTACTTTCCAAGGGAATTTAGCTTAGGGGAGAAATTTTTTTTTTTTTTTTCCTTTTTCTTACAGACATGAGCTGCTTTGATTGCCTGGACGCATGATTTCCTGAAACCTGCTCCTTTCTGGCTCTTGCAGTGAGGTTCACAATAAAATGTATTGTGGTTTTGAGCTGGGTTTTATTTAAGAAAATGCCATTCTGGGTTGCTCTCTTTCATGAGGCAGATGGAGAAAGATGAAAGGCTGACACATTAGGGATACTTCATTTTGTGCTCTTTAATTGTGGGTGGCTTCTTTTCTATAAGAACAAGCTTCTTCCTGGGAATTGGTGGGAATTAGAGTGGGACAAATGAAAAAAAAAGGAAAAATAATGGCTGTTAATTGCATTATTTTATTTTTTTTTATTTATGAAGCCTTTCATCTCATGCTTCTAGGAGCAATTCTGTAAATGGGGATATGTAAATGCACTGCTTTTATAGATCTAGGGACACTTCTTGGTACTCGCTGCCTCTTGTGCAACGCCTGTTCGGTGTAAGCCACGCTCTCTTCCAAGACAGGTTTGGAGCCTCGGCTTGCACTGGTGGAATCAGGTGCGGCCACTGGGAACCAGTGCAAAGTTGTGGTTTGGAAGTCAGCAGCTGAGATGGGATGCAAACCCGTACAGCGTTAATGCTTCCACTAATTAAATATAACTTTAGGATCAAGCCCTTGCAGCCACTGGTGGCTGGTGTCACTTAGCTGGCCAGGAATGCTGAAGAAGACGTGTGCCGTGTAACCCAGGCTGTAAAGCGGCTCCTGCTCTCAACGGCCGGTGGGGCTGGGTGGGAGTTTTGCTCAGCACAGCGTTTGGTTGCTTTCTAGGATGAAGATATCTAAGTGGAGGTGGAGCAGCATCTCCATCAGTGCGCGATCCCAGCTGAAAGGCACCCTGGCCCTTCTTCTTGTGGGCAACGTTGCCTTTGTGATAGCTCAGGTAAGCACGTCGCCTTGCTTTGGGCGGGGGTGTGTGTGTCTCTGGGCTTTAAAATGGTGCAGTGTCTGGGATGGGTAACCCCTGGGGCTTGCAGGACATGGTCTGTGCCTGCATCAGGTCTCCAGCAAGCGTGAGGATGTGTATGACTTGGCTTAGCTCTTTAGTCTGGGTTTAACCCATGTTGTACCTTCTGTGGATAAGAGCATGTGCAGATCATTTCCAGGACTCTCAAAGGCCATGCCCTGCTCTTGGGTGAGCACCACTTCCTTGGTCCCTGCAGTGGTTGGAGCTTCCACTTACTTTGCATGGAATATTGTTATCCTTTTCCCAGTAAACACAGAATTAATAGAACTACCCTACCCAGCAGGTGATTCTGGGTGGAAAACCACATCCCTCCCCCTGCGATGAGCAATAGCTGGGACCCCCTGGGAGGTTCTGTGCCCCCCATGAAGGGATGCGAATGCCTTACTGAGTGCAGGCATGTGGAGGTGACACTGCCAGCGGAGCAGCTTCTTTGCCCTCTGATGCATGTGGCAGTGGCTGAGGGGTGGGAGTGTCAAGGACCCTCCTGAAGTGACAAACCTGTCCATGCAAAGAGAGCACACGGGCTCCTCCAGCCTGCTAGCTCCTGCTGGCATGCTCTCCTGCTGCAGAGTGGTTTTGCAAGGATTTGCTTAAGCTTTTGGTGAAGCTTTTGGCTGCAACTGGCTTCTCTGCTCCCTGAATTCACTATGGAGCAAGAGTCAGCGAGCACCAAAAGACTTGGAGGGTTTAGGGTTGTTTGGGAGTTTGGTTTTGCCAACTGAGTGAAACAATGAACGCTTCCTTTTCCGAGGAATCCCAAATATTGCCATTTCATTCCAATTTGTAATGAAAACACAATTGGAAAAGATGCAGGGTTTCTTGCAAGATGGAAATCTCAGACTCTACCTCAGATGGAGAAAGAAATGCCCTGGTTGCTGGGGGCAGGCTGGGTGGGGGATGCCCTCAGTCTGCTCGTGCAGGCGCTGTGGATGCTGACTGCTGCTTCTCTCCCCTCCCTGCCCGATGCTTCAAGCAGGACCTGGCGCAGACCTCCAACAGCCTGGAGGAAGGGGCAGACGTCACCGCGTACTGGTGGGGCGAGTGGACCAAGTGGACGGCGTGCACCAGGACCTGCGGGGGAGGCGTCAAGTCCCAGGAGAGGCACTGCCTGCGGCAGAGGTACGGCGCCCGCCTGCCAGGGTGTGGGGACCTCCAGCTTGCTGGAGGTAGACTTGATCCAGAAGGTCATCACTCAGTGGATAAGCACTGCTAGAAAGGTGTTGTCTGGCAAACACTGCTTGTGCCGGAGGTAAGTATGTCCCTGAGCATGCTGCCATGAGGATGCTGTGCCCTGGGCATCCCTGCCAGGAGGACCAGCCAAGCTATTCCTGTGCTGTTCCTGAGGTTTCTCCTGTGGTGATTAGTGCAGGTGGGCAGCAGATGTAGCGTAAGCCCATCCTCAAGGCTTCTGGGCACAGCAGCAAGGACACCGTGGTGCAGGGTTGGCTGCTGATCCCAGCTGCTCTGTGAATGGCTCTGCCCTCTCTGGGCTGTGTGGTTGCCAGAAGGCACCTTGCAACCCTTGTCCCCAGGCCCTTGTCCCCCTGATAGGATGCTGTGATAAGAATAGTTGATGCTGCAGGTAACAAAGCCAGAGAGACCTTTGCTATCAACTCAATGAGACTGTGGTAAAGCTCTGTGTGGCCCTGCTACATGGAGACTGATCTAACAGAAGCTGGGGATAAATATATTTAAAAAAGGGATCAAGCAGGGTTTCTGACCTCTGTCTAACCATCGTTTCTTTATTCAGAAGAAAGTCAGTGAGTGGGCTGGCTAATAAAACTTGCACTGGGACATCCAAAAGATACCAGCTCTGCAAAGTACAAGTAAGGATATCCTTTTTCTCATGGGGAACGCTCGATACAAAACGTGGAAAGTCATGCTTGCTTTGTGCGATGGCGTTTCTGGGCCCCTCAGAGAGGGGACACCATTTGTCCTGTAGCTGTCACAGTGTTTCCCCTCCAAGCAACTGGAGGGCCCTTTAGTGCCCATCACCATCACCTTTTGCCTGCCCTGGAGGCCATAAAACCCAGCGGGGTGGTTCTTGCACCATCTCCCAGGGGGTTTCCCCTGGCTGTCCCTGCAGTGGGAGGAGGAGGATGTGTCTCTGGAGAGGGCAGGCGATGGAAAAGGCTTCTTGCAGCTGGTCGAGATGTGCCAGAAACCTTTCCCGCGTTTTGTTTTCATCAGGATATTAATGTATCCCATTCTAGGAGTGCCCTGCGAACGGAAGGAGCTTTCGGGAAGAGCAGTGTTCATCATTTAACTCCCATGTGTATAACGGCAGAACGTATCAATGGAAGCCTTTATATCCTGGTAACAAGACATTCTTTGTGTGTTTCATAATGCTTAGCCAAAATATTTTGATAGTTATGATGCTATAGCCTGCAGGGAGGCTCCTCCTCTGCTGCCTTAAAGTGATGTTTTCAGAGACACAATCAGCTGTCTCCCAAGTTCAAAGGCGCGTTGTGCAGCTGCAGGGTAGCTTAAAAATAAAACAACAACATGAATTTATGGCTGTAGCCGGTGTTGGTCACACAGCTCCTGAGGAGCAGAGAGCTGAAAGGCTGGAGGAGGCTGCAAGAGCATGGGGTGATAGACTGTGCTGGCAGGGAGGGTCCGGCTCACCCCAACAAGGGTCCTTTCAGCTGGGACCATTGCTGGCTACGCTGCATTTCGGTGACATTTGCCTGCTCCCCCACCCTTCGTGTGCTCTGCCAAATGTCACTGAAATGCAGCCAGTTTGGTCATCTGGGGTGAGCGATGCAGACCTGCAGAAGTAACTTAGGGGTCAGAGACCGAGATCTTACTGCATTTTTAGGCACCAAACTCCCATCAAAATCAAGCATTAAACAAAAATCATGGCCAATTTTTAGAGCTATTGGGAACCCAGGACCCTTCTCCTGAGTAGGAAGCTCCTGAGCGCTGGTTCTTCAGGTTCACAGTGCCATTTGGGTGTCTGAAAATGGGATGGGTTCTAATGCAACTTTCTTATTTTAAGGGTCTCTGTACATACCTAAGAACAATTATGCTTCCTGAAATTACTTGTTGCCTCCTCCTATGTGAAACAAGCCCCTGTCTCGCCAGCCGCCTCGGCAGGGTCAGTGTGGTAGAGCTTGGCCCCTGGCAGGCTGGTGAGCTATAGCCACTTGGCTGCTTCTGTCCCTTTCCTATGGCAAGGTGACAATTTCTTTAAACATATTTGCTCTTCAAGATGATTCACCAGAACAGTTACAGTGAATTGTTTTGTTTTTTAGCAGGCGTTCGCGTGGCTCCTGGGGGATTTGCAGAATAATGTTTTGACATTGATGCTGTCTTGCTTGGGCACGCAGGCCAGTGGGTATATGACTGCTCCCGAGCTGGTGGAGTTCAACGTTTAGCACTGGGTTTCTGATGCAAATATGAATTTGTCATTTGCTTCCTGTGGATATTCGAAAATGTGGGACTACTGTGCTGGTGGATGCAGCCAGCCAGTTGCCCGCAGAAAGCAAAGAGCGAATTAAGTCCAACTTGGGGGAATGCTTATGGAAAAGTTCTTATCTTTTAAGCTGCTATGGTTTTGACTGTAGTCTTGTATATGTGTTTATAACAATATAGCTGCATTAGTTTAACTCATATATTAAGTGTTGATATGTGAACATGCATATGTCTTTGTGTAATGTGTATATGCATCACTACTGCAAGTCCTTGCACAGAACAGTGGCTGTAAGGGCTTCAGGGCATCCCCTGGGCTGATGTTGGGGATCCCCCTAGCACCATGGGGTGCCTCTGCTCCCGGCAGCAGGGAGCCCTGCCTGGCTGTGCAAAGGCTCGCAGCAGTGGGCTGTCCCGCTCTCAGAAGCACGATCTCCTGGCCAGCCTAAAACACAAGAGATGGTCGCTTCTGAGCTGCTGGCTGCTGTGCCGTTGGGCTCTTGCTGCCGTTGCTTAGCTTGGTAGCAATTCGTTGACGTTGGTAGGATGAAAGTGATTGTGTTTCTGCTGTTTTGAATGTATCTTTATATCCTTTCCCCTTAGATGACTATGTTCACATTTCTAGCAAGCCCTGTGACCTCCATTGCACCACTGTGGATGGTCAGAGACAGTTAATGGTTCAGGCTCGGGATGGAACATCCTGCAAATACACTGATTTCCGAGGGGTTTGCGTGTCTGGAAAATGTGAGGTTGTTAAACATTATAGCAAAAATATTGTTAGTAGCATTCAGAAAATTACAGCGGGTGCGACATTTGCCTGACCCTCCATACTCTATTTGTGTGGTTTTTAGCCCATCGGATGCGATGGCATTCTCTTTTCCACCCACACCTTGGATAAATGCGGCGTTTGCCAAGGAGATGGGAGCAGCTGCACTCACGTGACCGGCAGTTACCGGAAAGGAAATTCTCATCTTGGTAAGGCTTCTGGGGACCTTCTGCTTTATTTGTATCAGAGGGCTCTTTTTTAAAATGTACTTATTTTTTTTAGTAAGCTGCTTTCAGCTCTTACCCGTTGCCCTGCTTCAGTTTTTCATGTGTGTTCATGCCACTTGTAAATTTGGGGAGGGAAAGCTTTCTTTAAAGAAAACCAGTGACTTTGCATGGTGCTTGTCAGAAGCCTGAGGTCTCTGATGCTGAATGGTGCAAAAGGGTTATGCAAGAGGCTGGCGTTTATTTTAGTTGTCTTTCTCATGACCCAGTAAGACTAGAAAGAAATGATTTGTAATAACAGGAAGCAAGGATATTTTGAAAGACCAGGATTTCCAAAATGAGTGTGATGTAAAGCAGCAGAACCTACTTGTCCTAAATATAGCAGTCTAACTCGGGAATAATGATTAATGCTCTCCGAGGAGCAGTTTAAGATGGAGCAAGCTGCAGGAACTTCACTGGTCTTGGGGAGGGCTTGTCCCATCGCTTCCCTAGAGCGAAGCAAAGGGGAGTCTGTGGAGAAACAAGTTGTAATCTCTTGCTGGGGCTTTGGGAAGACTGGCTAGCTCAGGACTTGATGCTGAACCACAGGATGGCTTTTCTAGCTAACAAAGCAGTCTTTGGGCCTCTCTCCTCACACCAGTTCCCCTAAACGTGATATTTGTGCATGTCAGGATTGCAGCTTTTTCCCTCCCTTGGCTGTATCTTTCCACCATAAACCAGGATGCGTAGTTCATGCATTTTTCTTTTCTATCATCGGTAAGGTCCCACTTGCAGCCTAACAGTTATCAACATTAGGGTTTTTTTTTTTCAATCTATAACTCCTTAAAATGTAATTTTGGATCCAGGCCAGTTTGCTTGATGTATTGCAGTATTGACTACCGAGCGTTTGGTTCAGAGTATTTGTTACAAAGTTCCTTTCATTAATCTGTAGTTTCCCATAGGCTATTCTCTGGTAACGCACATTCCTGCAGGAGCAAGGGATATCCAGATAGTGGAACGGAAAAAATCTGCAGATGTTCTGGGTGTGTATAACCTCTTGGTACTTCCCTAGAATGCATGCCTGTTACTAGCTAATGCTTTTTCCAAGGCGAAGCTGAATGTAGCTTTATTGCAGACATGAGCTAAATCCAGAGTCAATGTAAATCACAACGCCGTTGTCTAAGCCAGTGCCTTTCTCTCTGCAGTCTGAGCACCTGGGCTGTATAGATCAACGCCTGGATTGCTTTAGTGCAGACACTGTTGGTCAATATTATTGCTACTTCAGTGTGGTATGACAAACACGCTGGTGCCGGATCGCAGATAGCCAAGTGACTTCACCTCTCTTGTGATCCCCTTGATCTTCTCCTGCTTGGGGAATGTGCGATGGCCACATGACAACAGCACCAGGGAGATGTGACCTGTGTTGCCTCACTGCAGTGCTGGTGGCCACACCATCCATCTCGTGATGGAGATGGCAGAGCATGGAAAAATCTTGGACTTGCCCAAGAGAAGCACGTTTGCTACCTCATGCTCTGCTATCTCAGAGGCTCGTGGCCATGTGCAGGAGGGCTTGAATGAAGAAGGCTTGATTTAGTACAGTTCCTGGGCTAGCTCTGGATGACCTGTCCTGGGCCACTGCTGGGTCAGGTGGCACCAGCTCTGCAGCTCCTGCTGTTGGCCACCTGACAGTCAGCTTATTGCCTGCAGAGCTGTGATTGTGAAATGTTCATGCTATGCTAGTGCCAGAAGGGCTAGAGGAGCCATGGACTAGCGTTAGCCACGTACCCAGGAACTTGCAATGTAGAGGGATGCATGGCCCAGAACTCTGGGCGCATAGTCACGTGATATGTGTTGGAAATAGGTGACAAATGTGCTGTAATGTAAGAGAAATGCTTGTTTTATGACTATGACACACCAATAATTTTATCCCCTGAATGAACAAGGGGCAATTTTGCATACCTGGGCTCTTACATATGATGGCACTCACTTTTTCTCTCTCATTTGAAGCTGTGGCTGATGAAGCTGGGTACTATTTCTTCAATGGGAACTACAAAGTTGACAGTCCGAAGAACTTCAACATTGCAGGCACGGTGTTCAAGTACCGCAGGCCCATGGATGTTTATGAGACCGGCATAGAGTATATTGTTGCACAAGGACCGACAAATCAAGGGTTGAACATAATGGTGTGCTTTGACTTCTCAAGTTTGCAAGGCTGGGGGTGACGGGGAAGGAAAAATCTATGCTGGATCGAGGAAGGGGTGGGCGTGGGAGCAGAGTCCTGCTGTGGTTTCCCAGCTTTCCTGGACAGCTTGAGGAGGGGAGTGGGAGCAGTGACTGTGCCCAATTCCTAGCACAAACCTATTTTATTTGCGTCAGCGCTCTCAGATGCCGGCAGGGCTGTGAATAATGAACGTGGGCTTGGTAACCCCTCTCTCTGCAGGGAGAAGATGCCTCAGGCACTGCGGGGGGATTTTTCTTCTACTCCTTGGCTTTTTTGTCCAATTTACCTGGCAGGAAGAGTAAAAATAAGAAATTGGGCCAGATAGCTTAGAGAAGTGCACAAAACTTAAACCCTACCTCTTTCCTGAAAGTGAACCATCTAAACCAGGCATATGAAGAAAAGAAATTTCATTTTTCTTCTGGGCAGTCAGCCAGAGCCCAACTCGTGCCATCTTCCATGTAGCCCCGGGTTCCTCTGGAAGGGGAAGGGATGGGGCTTCTTGGGTGCTTATAAAGCTTTGGACTGATAAAAGGTGTTGTAGTGTATCAGCTGTGGGTTCCCATCCCCAGTGGGGATGGTGTGTGTGTGTGTGTGTGTGTGTGCGCGCGTGCTCCTCATTCGCCATAAAGCCACAAAAAATGGTTTTGCACATGATGGTCAGTAACTTCTGAAGTGGCTCTCCCAAGTCCCTGGTTGCTCAGCAGCAGAGGAGAGAGTGCGACCTGTGGCTCCCAGTCCCTGAGCTGGGGCTGATCCCCAGGGCAGTGCTGCCAAATAACCCTTGGAAAATTGTGCTGGGCTTCAGTTGTAAGAAGTTGGCAACACAATGGAAAGCAGATTGGAAATAGTAAAGTAGATGCTCACCAACTGTCAAGTCCAAGATGAATCACAAGCTTTGTGTGCCGTATACTCGCTGCATCCGCTAATAATTTAATTTGTTTGCTAGGTCTGGAATCAAAATGGCAAGAATCCATCCATCACATTTGAATACACCCTCCTGAGGAAGCCACACTCAAAAAATCTGCAGCCCATCTACTACACCTTCTCGGAGTCAGATAGCGAAGAAAGCAGAGAGTTTGATGGAGACGTGCCATTGGGTTTTATCCAGCACAATGCAACCTATTTTGGGAAAATCTCCAGGGAAAGGATAGACTTGGAGAACCAGGTGTTTGGAAGGCAGGACACGGAGGAAGATTTAAACTTGAGCAAAGGTCAGGAAACCAATGAGGTCTATGAAAGAGCAGAAACAATTGACTGTGAGCCAAAACTGAAGGGCAAACAACCCCAAGGTAAGGAGGAGACTTGGGCCTCACTGTTCTGCTTCTCAGAGCTCTTGTTGAAAACGCTCTGTTTCTACCTCTGGTGATTCTGCTGGTTTGTTTTTTGGAAACCTTGGAAAGTTCTTTAAAATGTCTCTGCTCATAAATCCTCTTTGCCCTTCAGGTTCTGGTTTCTGGGGGGTGGGGGGGTGGTCATGGGTAAGGTCTCACCGCTGGTGCCCTGCCATGCTTTGCCTCATGCCAAGCCAG